GGGTCTTCTGAGGCTGCAAAAGACTGCAGTGGCGTGATGACATCATGATAAGAGGCGGCAAGAAGATCAGCCTGCAGTGCTGGGTCATCATTTTCCCCTCACGGAAGTGGCAACAGCAAGAGACATATGACAACGCACTTAGGTGAGGGAAAACCAGCTTTGAAAGCCTTTTTTTTTTTTAAATGGTTGGGTGGGTTTAATTTTTCTGAAGTTGGTTTTTAAAGTGACATTAGACTCAGAAGTTAAACCATAAAAATACATTCAAGTACCTTAACTAATAACAAAAATGTTGCCTATTTGTGCATCACTCGGCTGAAAATCATCAAATCATCTCTGATTTAGTGAAAAGAAATAGAGAAAATATAAATACTTCTAAATCTATGAAAGGTGTAGGAAATTGTTTAAATATAAACAATCTAGAAACACTTAGTAAGAGCGAAGACGAATGAAGGACATATGTGATAAAAGATTAAGAGATAATAATGCAAATTCATACTAATAACTATAATTAATAGATAATAAGATATACATAAATAGTAAAAGTCAGAATATATACTGTTTATGTATATTTTATCATCTGTGTATGAAGACTCGAAATGCTTCGTCCTTCTAACATTATGTTTTGATAAACATATAATCAAATTAAAAGGGAGTCTTTATATTTACATACACTTAGACTTTAAAGTGCTTGTCATAATATGTTCTAAATGAAGTGTGTTTTTATACTCTGTGAATGGAAGACCTACTGCTTAGGACAGAACTGTTTGTGTTATTGAAATTGAACGCTGCTTTTCCTTGAACGTCTAGATGGCCTTCACATCTTGGTGTTCTCCTGTACGTCAGACTCCACATTGAATCAGGAGCAGCGCTGAGCCAGTGCAATGCAAGGGTGCTGCTTTGTAACTTTTATTCCAATCACAAATGGAAGGTATTGATTTTGGGAAAGCAGAGGCAGAGTGGCAGGCACCCAATTGAGGAGAAACAAAAATGAAATACCAGAATTGATTGGTTCCACTGACCAGGACGACTTTCTTACTTAGCTGGTAATATCTCACACGGTGAAGGGTCAAAGATTAGGCTGGTAAAAGGAGGGGCTTTCCATGCTATCATGAAATATAAAATAACTGCTTTTCTGAATGTCATCAGACTCTCCTTGATGCTAAGAGAATGTCAAATATGTTACTACTCGGAGAACAAAATGCTGCGAAATCTGGAAAAGACTTTCAAAAGATAAGATGTGGAGCTCTGGGAGCTAATCCTTGTGTGGGGCAGCATCAAAGCGGTTTGTGTTGATTCAATACAGTGCACAGGGAACAGGATAGGATGGGGGCGTCTGTTGATGAGGGGCTGTTTGTATCAGAATTCAAAGTTGGTTCCTAGGGAAAACGAAGAATAAGCAGTGTGAGCATTAGCCTATTCTTACGTATGCACACTGAAATTTAGAAGCTTAAACACTATGATTGCTCATTTACCTTGCATAAAAACATGCATGCACCCTACAATCAGGGCTGGATTTACTCTCTCTGCTGCCCCAAGGCCAGGTTCCTCAATGCACCCCCCTACCTGCCAAAAACATCGACATCGCCGAGATCACTTGTACAAAACAAGCGGCAGCTTCCCCGCTGTACATTTAGCTCTGCTTGCCCGAAGCAGGGCTAAATGTAGAAAACAACTACCCATCCGGCGCCCAGAATTGCATGTCCCGGGCATTGGGAGATAGGAATTCCACACCCCTGCTGCCCCTCTACTCCCTGCTGCCCCGAGGCCGGGACCTGGTTGGCCTTGTAGGAAATCCAGCCCTGCCTACAATAACCCGACCTGGCACTGGACATTCCTCCAAACAATTTATTTTTCACGCATCATTACATAGGCAACCGCTGATCCATTTGTGCCCTGAGTGGCCTTAAATATAGCTATAGAAAACAAACAGGGGCACCACCACAATTAGTAGAGTCCAGTGTAATAACAGGATCAATATGATGAAACATCCAACGCCTTTCTGGGCTCCACAAGATTCCCCTTCAACAGGGCTTGATGCATTAAAAAAAAAGCATTTTTTGGAAGAATTTAAGTGTAGTTTATCCTGTTTACATGATTGTCCTCTGGAAGAGAGGTTATTTGTGCATTGAGTGTGAGATGTGGGACATTCATTAGGGGCATGGTGTCTTTGTGCAGTTTGTAATCATGCAACCTACAATACAGTAGGGTAAAATTGGGAGAATAAGTCTTTGAAGGATCTGAGCGTCTTTGTATGTATGTTATTATGGCATAACATCATGCATTGCCATTCAGCATCTTCAAAAGCCTTCAAGATTTTGTCTTGAAGTAAGAGGCATAGGGGTTAATTTTGGCAAATAGATGGTTTACTTTGCAGGGGAAGATTCCCTTAGCTTAGTGAACGTGGTGAAAGTTCCCTTAGTAAAGTATACCTCATCATATACAAGCAAAATAAAAAAAACAACATTTTTTCTTGAACATGATTGGGTGATGAAAGTCAACAGAGCTTCCCCTCATTTACTAAACTAAGGGGGAAGTTCCCCTGCTAAGTGCAAAAAGCCTATTTGCCTTTACTAAATTAAAACCCTAGACTCAAGGTAGAATTTTTTGGCCCCTATGCAGCTTTTTAGCAGAGCCTAAGGTTGTCTTAGAACTTGATAGAATGCTGAGAAAGTCAGCTCTATGAATAAGGGACATTGAGCACTTCATGCAAGAGGAAAGATTTATTGAACTCACTTAACTCATCCTCAAGAAGAGGGAGTTAACTAAGGATACCTTTTATAAATAAACAAATGATCCATATTGGAAATTCAGTAGAAAAATGTTCACGGTAAGGTCACCACTAAAGTTAAAAGTGCATGACTTACATTCAGAAGAAAAAAAAGGTTTAACTTCCATATGTAGAAAGGATTCTTAAGTATAAGAGCAATAATAATGTGAAATAGCCTTCCACAGAAACTGGTTCTAGCATAATCACTGGTTTGCATCAGAAAGGATAAATATGTTTCTACATCCATGAAGCATAAACAGCTATATACAGCTATAAAAAGTACACAATAAAATGGTGGCTTTAGGGATCAGGTAAGGAAATTGGACCAAACTAATTTTGTCTTGTTCTAGATCAACTAGGTGTTTTGAGGAAGCGTTGTGGGGTTTTTTCTGCAATTATTGTTTGAACTTTATGGACTCTGTCCCACAAAATGTAGGAACCCCTCATCCAATGATACAAAGGTTGATTCTGATCTTTACGTATAATAGATTGCTAATGCATACGATTTATTAATGCTGTACAACCTGTTCATTTCCAAAACATGTGCTCCGAGTTCCCTAAAAGGCCAGATTTGCACAATTGTGTTGTAGTAATGTGCGTCCATGACTTCATGACCAATTACATTGTAAATTCAGTGTTTAAATGAACTTAAAATGTAAAGTTTACCTGAAATTATTTTCTGATATGACTCCTCCATTCAGATCTTCAAATGTTATCTTTCAGTAATTTATCTGTGAAACAGGGTTCCCAGTAGTTTTGAAAGAATATCTAAAGTTAATGGAAAAAAATATATACCGTACTTTGCGCTCTATAAGGCGCTCCGTTCTATAGGACGCAGGCATTCTGTGACAGGGATTCTGTGACAGAAGCTGCAGTTCAGTGACCGCTGAGACAGGTAGCGCTGTGATTACAGGGCCACGGTCTCAGTAATCACAACGTTCTTCGTCTGCTCAAGGGGCTTTATGGTGAGCTCCTATGCCGTGGTTGCTGTCCCCCAGAGGAGCGGGGGACCCGAAAACCACCGCAGGGGGGGCGGACACAAGTGCCGCCGCCGCTCGGTTTAATACAAGGGATCTAATTAGTTCCCTTGTATTAAACGAGCAGCGGCTCCTACTGTACATTCAGCTCTGCTTGTCAGGAGCAGGACTGAATGTACAAAGAAACTACTCGCCTGTCGCCCGAAAACTGCATGTCCCGGGCGTCGGGCGATAGGTATTCACTCCATAAGACTCAGGCACATTTTCCCCCTCCTTTTTGGGGAAAAAAAGTGCGTCTTATGGAGCGAAAAATACGGTATATATTGTAGCTTCCCAGTCCTTAGATTTGGTGGCTGCATTTGTTTTCTTTTTTCAGGCTAAGAACATTTCCAGCAGAAATTACCTGCTGATCTTGCCAGAAATGCAGAGTCCTTGTCACTTCCTGTAATCTAAAGTGAACGCACAAACAATCCTGTCTTCCATCTGTAAATTACTAGTTTCCCATTTAATGAAAATATAGAGCGCATAACATGTTTGAAGTTCAGTCTGGGTGAAAACAATGGATCACCATAGATTCAGTGGAGGACTGACCGTTGACACCCAGGGACATGAAGTCTGTTATTTGCAGGAATATTACGTTAAAATAAAGGAAAACAAAGAAAATAGAAATCTAATGCAGCCACTACATCTAAGGACTGGTAAGGTGCAATTCTTGTTTTTGGGTTTAGAAACATTTTAATGAATTACTGGTTCACAATTTCATGACATTCCGCCACTAGAGGCAGTGTTCCATTGGTGTGGATGACTGATATTACTCTCAATAAAACCTTGAAAGCTGTAATATGGCACCAATAAATGTGCAGTATAATTCGATTTTTAACTTTCTGGGTTTCTCTGCAGTGACTTGTGTTTTATATCTCAGACAAATAACCGATGCTCGATGTTGATTTCATTATACATAAGATTGTCCCCACAGCTCTAACACAAAGAAATACAGCACTGTATGCTAAACGGAGCTATTTTCAGTACACTCCGAGGCGGCCCAAAATAGCGATCCCGCGATTCATGGTAGAATATGGTGGCAGATGAAGCTGCACATATTTTAAATGTAATTAGGGCCGAATTATTTTTTTCCCCCTCTGCATTCATCTTTAGATGAGGTTATAGCCATCTCTATTGCTGATCTGTACAGAAATCATTCCAAATTTCTATAAGCCATTAACCTCTCCACTCCTCTCTGCTCTCCTCTCTTTCAGCTATGCTGTGACTGTGCAGGAATCGTATGCTCACCCATTTGATCAGATTTATTACACACGCTGCACGGACATCCTCAACTGGTTCAAATGCACGCGGCACAGGTATGAACTGTGGGGGCTGGTGCGTGCCTGTAGGAAGCACTGTGTGGTGCACAGACAGAGCGACTATTTCATTGTGGTTAACTTGTTTTTAAATGGAGAAATATTTTATTGATTTTCTACATACAGCCCAATTATGCAGTATGTTTTGAGTCTAGCTTAGTCCCTTTTCATAATGGTTAGTATTAAATGCACAGACATTAATGCATTCACAAACCCCTAAAGTGGTTGCCAGTGGCGGACCTAAGGAACAAAGGACCCTGGTGCAAGATTCCTTCCTGCACCCCCCCAGAGGCCCATCAGCCCATGCAACCATGCCTCCTCCAATGGGCTCCCCCAGCTTTGGTCCACCCCTGGTCTCTGCATCACTGCACCAGAGGAGCTTACACTCTAATGTCCCCCCATAGTCACACACAATTATTTGTATACATTTATATAGCTATGACATATACCATAGTGCTGTACAGAGAACACTGAGCCAGAGTCACATCAGAGAGGAGCTTACACTCTAATGTCCCCCATAGTCACACACTATTATTTGTATACATTTATATAGCTCTGACATATACCATAGTGTTGCACAGAGAACACTGGGCCAGTCACATTGGTCTCTGGCATCCAGGTGCAGAGATCATCCCTTTAAACCCTGGCCATCTCCCTCTCCCGCAGAGCAGTTCTCTTCCCTTAGGGCATGTCAGTGGTACCTGGTATCCATCTGTGTAATTATCTTTCTCCTTCACTAGAGGATCAACATGACAACCAGCATTTTCAGGAGGTCAGCAGAGGAAGCCTTCTTCTCTCATGGCAGAAATAAAAAGTCAAATTGAAAAGTAGAAATGTTCAGGGAGGAGGGCAGTGGGGGGGCAAGGACACTACCAGGGAAACCCTGGAGGCTGAGCTGAAAGTACTGGTTGTCATGCTGATCCTCTGGATTCAATGCCTCAAAGCCAAGCAATCATGAACATAAGGGCTCCTGACCGCATATTTGTTAATAGGAATGTTGGGAATCAAGAGGATCAACATGACAGTCAGCATTTGCAGAGAAAAGCCAGCAGTAGCAGCCTTCTCCTCTCATGACAAGTTCCCAAAAAGAGAAGAAATGGTGGGAGAGGACAGGGACACCCCATGACCTTCCAGGGATTCCCCAGGACTTACAGTGTCACCCTGAGAACTTTTAGGGACACCCAGGCGTTCTAAGGATACCCCAAGACCTTACAGGGACACCCCTGGACTCTCTGCACTCACCCTTCTATACTCGATTGCCTGAAGTTTTGCTGGAAGTGGCGGTGGTTCCATAGCGATGGCGAGAAGTGGCAGGGCTACAATCCCTGCATTGACCGGCCCCCTTAGTATATAGAGGGGGCAGAGTTACAACTCCATCTGTACTGAGAGGGGGCCCCAACCCCTACCTGGAGGAGACCCCTCCCGGCTCCCTGCGCTTTCTCCAAGCTCAGTGGGCGGAGGGTGCTAAGATTACAGAAGTTCATCATTGTCATCCCTGTCATGCCTGCCATCTCACTGCGCCCCCCCAGCCTCAAGCCGTGGTACAGCTGCGCTGTTTGCACCGGCAGTAGGTCCGCCCCTGGTAGTTCAATTTTTGCAGCTTCCCCTCTATCTATACCCACATTTCCAATATGGTAGCAGGTTGTTGATGGCTGTGATTTTCTTCTTGCAATGATTCTACACATTGCTTAATTGATAATATATTAATGTGTTACTAAATGGAGGCTCTGTGAGACTTGAGTTGCTGATTAGTCAAAAAAGTTCAAAGCCTACATAATCTGGCTTTTAAATGAACCTGTGCCTTGCCCACGCAACAGGTTCACTTTAAAGAGATATTAAAGTTAAAATCAATTACAATGGATGCTGCTCCTTGATGTTTAAAAGTTATAGCTTCCTGCAGAATCAGCTGGTCCCCTGAGCACTGGCCCTGATATCCTGTTGTAGGGTAGATCCTTTCTCTTGCAATGTCCAATGGAGCCACCCTTGTATTTGCTAGTAAGCTGTGTCTTCACAAACACACAGGCACAGCTAGGCAAACCACTCCCTGGCTCCCCCGTTCCTTCTTTCCTCCTTCCTCCCTTCTGCAGGCTAGTAGATGGGCAGCTGCTGCAGACTGCTCTGTCCCTTGTGATCTTGTACTGGACAGGAAGTTTAGGGAAGCAGAGCTGAGAAGGTTGGAGCTGTTTGGAAACATGATGCCTGTTAGTGTTTGGGCAAAAGTTTAAAGAAATACTTTGCTGAACAATGTATATTTGTTTCATCTGGATTCATTATTATTGACAAACGTTTAAGCATTTAGTACTACTTTAGCACAGTGGCTTAGTTGCCTTGTGGCAATGGGGTCCTCGGTTTAAATCTCAACCAGGACACTAGCTGCATGCAATTTGCATGTTCTCCCTGTGCTTCCTCTGCGTACACTGGGTTTCTTCCACACTCCAAATACATGCTGGTAGGTTAATTGGCTCCTTTCTAAATTGGCCCTGGTTTGTGTGTATTTATATGAGGTAGGGGCTTTAGATTGTAATCTTCTGGAAGGCAGGGACTGATGTGAATGTACAATATGTAAAGTGCTGTGTAAATTGTAGACACTATATAAATACCTATAAAAAAATAAATCTAGCCATACTTCCCTACCTCACGCTCCCTTGCCATTCCATTTAGTCGTAGAGAATAGGCCTGTGTAAGCTATGCGACTGAGTGACTGAAGTCATACCGTAGATAGAGCTTTGGATTGCCCATGTGACAACGTTCATTGGTGTCACATGGAATAAAGCAAATGCTTCTCCATACTCAGAAGAAAAAAGAACTCCAGGGACAAATCGTATTAACCCTTGAAGTGGAGCTACCCCCGTACTGCAAGGATTAACTGCTCATTTTGTTCTAGGTGCTGACATTTTTTTATAATCACCTGAACTGCTGAGCGGATTCCCTGCTTCTCTGGTCACTGAAGCGTGTCTCCTCCTCCGCTGCACAGAAGGAATGTTCCTCAGCGTCCTCACATCGTTATACTTGTATAGAATGTGATGACACAAGGATTCTTAGACCAATGCAGAGGAGAGGGAGAGAGGCTCCAGGGACTGGTCTAAGAACAAGGCGGCTCAAACTGATCGGGTTAGTATAACCTTTTTTTTTTAGTACCTAGACACAAACAAGCAGTGAACCCTTGCAGTGCGGGGGTAGCCCCACTGCAAGGGTTAATAAAAATGTAAAAAGTTCTTTAAAGAAAAGATACCTTCATTTTTTGTTAATTGTTTAGAACATGGTCTGGCATGACTGAGCATGATCTTATGAAGGGAGTTTTGCTGTAGGTAAAGCTGCATAAATGTGTACATAACCGGCTTTGACTAAATGTGAGCTGTGTTATTCCAGGGTGGTAGCCTTGTCCCTTAGGGAGGGTGAAGCATACATGCATAATACATAATGCAATATGTACTGCATGCTACTAGCTCTTGAATGAGACAGTATTAGCTGGTCTGTGTATTTTTAGATATTAGTTTTGCATACTTCCCAATTGTCCCTGATTTCCAACCAAATCCGTCTGTCCCTCTTTCCTACTCTGTTGGTTGTCTGATTTACAGGTATCTATGAGAAGGTTCTATTTAACTACCAAAAGTGTTATTCTACACTAAGACCTTTATCTTATCTCCTAATTATCTTTTTTGTGTGCTATATTTAAAAGGCCAGTATAAAGGAAAAGCAATGGTGAAAAATAAACCGCCAAAACAATGCCGGGTTCAATCAATCATTGGCATATAAAGTCTTAATAGTTCGCATAACTGGGGGTGTGATAGGGGTGTGTTCATTGCCTATATTTAACTAGGGGTGTGATAGGGGTGTGTCCATTGCCTATATATAACTGGGGGGGGTGTCCATTGCCTATATATTTATCTGGGGGTGTGATAGGGGTGTGTCCATTGCCTATATTTAACTGGGGGTGTGATAGGGGTGTATCCATTGCCTATATATAACTGGGGGTGTGTCCATTGCCTATATATAACTGGGGGTGTGATAGGGGTATGTCCATTGCCTATATATAACTGGGGGTTTAGCAGGGATGTATCCATTGCCTAAATACATTGTCCTGGAAGGGTTCCCTCTTTCTAACCTCAGAATTTGAGAGGTATGGCTTTGCATTGTGCTGTATATTTTGATCACAGATATGGGAGCTTATGAGGAAGACAACTATTGTTTATGTCAAGTTCAGAAGCTGTGGTTAGAAGGAAATATATATTCATTGTAGTTAATACTTCATATACAGTCTATGCAAGCAGCGCACAGTTTTCCATGAACACTCTCGGACATATTCAGAGAAAACTGCACCATATATCTTGGGAAATATGAGTTCTCTCTTTTATCATATAACAGCAACTATAAATATTGCAATTGCATTTGCAACCATCTTTTTTTCTACAGAGCCCCGGCTTTCAAAAAATCTATATTGTTTGGGGTGTTATAAGTAACATTTTCAGCCAGAAATGCGCATTTTAAGTGTGCAGAAAAACAACTTTAGAAAATGACCTAGCAGCAAAAGGGTTAAAAGAGAATTTGACTACAAGTAAAGTTGACCTTTTGAGATTTTGCTGAAACCTAGAAACACAGGTAGACCTTCAACTCACAACAGAGACTAATGATATTTTTATATTTTTGCAAATTTGCACAAATTGTGTGCATAGCCATACACCAACACTGGAAACATAACAATCAGATAGAACACCAATTAAGTCACATGATCAAAAGCAGCAAATCGGATTACACTGGGGATAACTCGGCAAACAAGATACGTATTATAAACATAATCTGGCAGTTGAAGATAAATGTACAATACATTGATTTACAATCTTAATTGTGTATTTATCATTTTCCTCTGTATACATGATTTTATTGATAGTCTGCCAATAATCAATACAGTGTATTGTATGTTTATTTCCAATAGCCAGATGCAGGGGCGTAACTAGAAATCACAGGGCCCCGTAGCATAATTTTGTATGGGGCCTTGTGATTTCTAGTTATGCCCCTTCCAGAGCCAACCTGATATACCAAACAGCGCACCTGAGAGTGACACTGCAGAGCCCGCCATAGACTCTCTATGATGGGCTCTGCAGGGTCTCAGGTGGCTGCACACCTCTTACCTGTCAGCGCAGTCCGCCTCCGTGATCGCCGGGCCCCGCCTCCTCTTTCATCGTCGGGCCCTGTCTTCTCCTCTATCGATGGGCCCCGCCTCCTCTTACATCACTGGCCCCTCCTGCTCTTAGGTCGCCGGGTCGGGCCCTGCCTCCTCCCTCACTGCAAACGCCGGGTCCAGTCTCTTCTGCAGCAGCTGCTGGCTGTCACTGACACAGTTCAGCGGCGGATGTGAGGAAGAACGCGCCGCAGCACACATCACTGACAGGTTGTCAGTGATCTAACAGCCGCCCGTTCCTCTTGTCAGCCAGCACCCTGATATGCCATAGCGACCCAGGCGGCCCGCACAGCATCAGAGGGATGCCCTGGCCGGGCCCCCTGTGTCCCATAGCAGCCGCCTGGGTCGCCATGGCGATTGTTACACCACTGGCCAGATCTGATTATTGTGTATATTATTGAAGGGCTTATTTACATGTCTGTGCTCTGTGCTTAAAAATACCCTCAGTTTCATGCACCGTGGAGATTTTCTATGTGTTTGACAGTGTGCGGGGGAGTTTGTGTACCGCTCCATTTATTACAATTCATATATAAATGCATTTTAAATGGGGAGGTGTTTATCTGTATGCAAAGCATTTTTATGTAAATACCTTTAGGGCTAGTTCGCACCAGAACTGCATCAGAAGCGCATGCGTCAGCACAGCTGCGGTGTGATGCGTTTTGCTGCGATTTTAACGCAATTGATTCGTGTTTTGTTTTTTTGCGTAAACTTGGATTTCAGGTGCGTTCCAGTGCATTTGCATGCGTTTTGATGTAGGCAGTATTTTTTTCTGGCTGCATCGGAATAGACTGTTCTGGTGTGAACAGAGCACAAAAAATACCATAGGAAAGCATTGTGATGCCTTTTTTGATGCAGCTGCAAAACGGAACGAACTGCATCACTACTGCATCTGGTGTGACTGTGAACCAGCCCTTAAGTTACACCAAGCAGGATTTTACTGAGCACACCTCAACAAACACTTGAGGGCCCATTCATACTGGTGCGATGTGTTAATTGTATGGTTCCAATGAAAGGAGAACTACGGGATGGGTGAAATACATTCACCCCCCATAGTTAGAGCCGACGTGCGACACTGGAGTTGTCACACGTGGGCTCTATAGCTGAAGAACTGAGCGATCACATATTGCTAACTGCTTAGTTCACGATCTTCTCGCAGCAGAGAGCGGTGACTGTTAGTCACTGCTCCCCACAGGGATTTCCCCCTCCCCTCTCTGTTCCCTCAGTGCTGAGTGGAGGGACAGACAGGGGAGGGGGCGGGCACTGCTGGCTCTGCCTCTAGAAAGGCAGAGCTAACTGTCAATCAGGTAGCAGTGTGGATCCAGACAATATTGTCCGAATCTTTCCCAGCTCCAGCGCAGCTCTGCGCTGTCAAGCATATAGCGGGCAATAGCCTGCTATATGCTGAGTTTTGGGTCACAGGAGGACATTGTAAATGTTCTCCTTTGACCCTAAAGAGAACTATGTCTATAAAGGTTTGGCCATAGTTCTGTTTCAACGCACCTTACCGCACAACGCACCTACCATTTGTTAACAGTGCGTAAGGTGCATTGCGTTGCCATTATTGTGAATGGCACCCCAAACGCCACGATCAATCGCACTGCCAGACATGCTACCACAATACCTACATGAGACAGCCCACATCATTTCAGGGGCAGAAAAGCCTTTTCTCCAAGATTTTGCAGTGTACAAATGAGATTTCCCAGGAAGGCACTGGTGATGTAATCTTCCCAGGATGCATCTGTGAGGCCAGGGCTACATCACCAGTGCCTTACTTCACCAGGAAGTAGAAAAACAGCATTTGTAAGTAAAATCAAATAATGTTAGTTTAGCTAACAAATGTTAGCTGATTTCATAGCATACAGAGCTGCATTCTGATGTGATTATTCGTGAAAGGGGGAAATGGTCCACTTTAAGGCTGCAGGATGTGTATAAGTAAAACTATAAAACAGATATCTTACTTAGAAAGCAGCACTGTAATGGGAAAGTTATGCGAGCGGTCTGCCCTGATCAACTTTTCTCTATTTTCTTGCACAGAATAAGTTACAAGACTGCATACCGGAGAGGCCTGAGAACCATGTACCGGCGGAGGTCACAGTGCTGCCCTGGATACTATGAAAGTGGAGACTTTTGTGTCCGTATGTATCCCTCTGCTTGTGTCCATACTGCTCTGTGGATGTAGAATGTTAGAATTGCTTATCTGTTATTGTATTATTTATAGAGCTATGCAATATGGGATTGTCTACCCACATCCACAGTGGGGATCTAACACATGTTCATCCAATGAAATACGCCGCTGTTCTGTCCCAGTCTCTTATGACTTTGTCACATCTGTATCCGTTCTGTTCTTGTTACAGTTATAATGGCTTCTCCGTTACATCAGCCTTGTATTATTCTGAAGATGGATAAAGACATTGAATGCTGTACATGGTATATGATATGTACATGATACGCCTTTAAGAGATCCACTCTCCTTAGCTGGTCAAAGTAGTGCAACAGAATGTAAACACATATTCTACAATGGAAGAAGACACATGGTCTTTTGAATATTGTAAAGTTTGATCGAACTTTCATTGTAAACCACTTAAATACATGTCAGAAGCATCAAAACAAAAGGTGAGCAAAGTCTTACAGATGGTTTTCTTTAGTAGTAAAAAAAGACAGCAGAGATCAGATTATGGTCTCTGCGTGAAAGCAGTGGGCTCTCTGCTGAGGTCCAACATACCCCTACTGAGACAGACTTATAGAGTTAAACCTACAGACTTGGAAAGTTCTAGCTCTCACTTAGTGTGTATGTGTGTGTGTGTGTGGCTTTTTGTGTGGATTTTTGTTTCCTTTAATAGCTTTGTGATTATATCTTTGCTGCTATGATCCCTGTGGTAATTTTCAGTAAGGGCAGATAATTATTTTTCTCTTTACTTCCTGGAATTTGTTGCCTTCCCGCTACAATAACATGCAGGAAGATCTTGTGCATGCGCACCCAGCAATTTACCATCACACGTAGAATCAATGCTTTTTCCCACCAATATCTCAGGATATTTCACAGTCTGGGAACAAGATCTCCCAGGAAGGCACTGGTAACGCAGCCTTCCCAGGGGGCAGCTGGCTACATCACCAGTGCCTGTTCAAAATCAGGAAGTGGGATAGCATCACTCCTGTGAGGAACTACAATCTCATGTTTAGGTTACTCATTTGTATTGAGATTGTAGTCCATCACAGGAGTGAGCTTGGAGCGGTGGCTACTTTACAATACACACAGGGACCATGGGGAACAAAAGTAGCCACCTTCCAGAAGGAAGGACAGTGTCAGCACCAATTCAGAGATGATGAGGATCTACAGCTGAGTGATGCACGTGTAGCGCTCACCCCCGAAGGAGCCGCTGGATGAACAGGTCCATATCTAGTCAGTCTAGGGATATATTTCCAACTGCCCCATTAGCATTAACTGCCCTCTTCCTGTGCCCATAAATTGAAGTCCGCTCCAATCGTGAGATGCTGGTTAAACAGTTTATTCACTTCTAATTAGGGAGAGAGGGTATAGGGTCTAGGTGCACCGGCCTCCATAGCTCCAGACTCACCAGATCTTATCCTTGGAAGAACACTGACCCCACTCAGAAGTCCCTCTGAATACCAGGCACTTCAAAAGCCCACACGGGTCCTGATTCTTCCATTCTTACAGGCATTCTCCTGACTGCAAACTCTCAAGGAGGCCTCTCCTTCAGCAGCTCAGCCAACTCCCACCCCCAGGCCTCGGCCTAGCCTAGGGGCAGGCTGAACAGGACCCAACCTCAGTCCATGGCTGGTCCAGACAAGAGAGCGAGCACATGGCCTCCCACCAATATATATATCCTTTGTCAGCAGACATCACTGGCTACAAGAAGCCCAGTAACTGGCTGCTGCCCTGTACACATATCACAGTGTCACCCATTGGCTGTCCCATAATGTGACAGAGTCTCACTCCGCCCTAGAGGGTACAGACAAGGTTGGACACCTGGGATTAACCATGTGCTGGCTGCTACAAAATTCAACCAGGCTGCCTACAGCCCTGGCTATCACTAAATAGATAGTAAGCACTTCACCAAAGGTGATGGGCGCTACACACAAATAAGATACATTTGTGTTACTAGTTAGGATACTTGAATACATTTTTAAGGTTTAAATCCTGAGTTTAATGTCACTTTAAAGCAGGTCAAATGCACCTATAAATTAATTCTTAGGGCTTGTTCACACCAAATGCAGACCAGATTTGCATGAGTTTGTGCACGCGCAGTGCAGTGTGTTATACCACGTTTTTTGCGGCGTTTTTTTCCGTTTAAAATGGTCTTTCAGTGCGTTCTAGTGCGTTTGCATGCATTTTTTTATGCGTTCCAGAGCAGGTAAAATAGGGCTTGCTACAGTTTTTTTTACATGCTCTGGAACTGAACGCTGAGGTGTGAACTAGAGCCCAAAATACCATTGGAATACATTGGATTCAGTTTTGATCCGGTCTGTAACTGCTCTGCTCCTGGAACGCACTTGGTGTGAACTAGCCCTAAGTGATCTCAGCAGAAGCTCAAACTTTATGTCAAATTGGTGGCATTGATACAATCCTAAAGCCTGTTGACGCAGGGCCTAATTGCGGGGCAAAGTAGTTCAGCCCTGGATTATACTGTTTTTAATGTTAATCATTTAGATTATATTATAAAAGCATATAGAAGTGCAGGTATGAATTATACTGATTGAAGTGTTATCATGGTACGGTGAATGCATTATGCTTTTTGCACTACACAGCAGAGCATCCATTTATTACACTGATTGTAGTTTTGATTATACTGATCATTGCTCAATAGTGCAGTTTCGGATGATATTTTTTGTCTCAGTGTTCAGTAATGTAACATCGAAAATAAAAGTGATTTTAGCACATATCAGTGCAGCCTTAGATTAGAGTTATGCAGATACCCCTAAGGATAGTTCTGTCATCATCTGTCTGCCAAAATAAATTTGCCACAATACTGTAACATCTTACAAACTTAAGTTGCGTGTAAAACAAATCTTTATACGTTTTTGCAAATATATCAAATAGATTTATATGCGTCAAGGAGGCATTGATAGAAAATTGCACACCGTAGGGATACATGAGCAAGGTGGAACATTTGATAAAACTAGAAAACATTTCTCCAGATTACATATTATAGTGAACTTTATGTAGACAGTTTTCAGAATATCACACATATCGGTAGAAAGACCCTCTGGTGAGAAGAAAAACATAAAAATTTGTCAGCAGAGTCAGAGGATACTTCAAAGGCTTATATGGGAAAAAGTTTACTTCTCTGACTTGCCTTCCAATGCCAACTTTATAAGAAAGGTAAAACTAAGATGCCCAGGAAAAAGCAGAATACTGGAGGTTGTGCAGCTGTACAGACATTCAGATAGACAAGCAGCAGGTGGCTTAGCCAATACACTATACATTTTCTTTGATGATTTTTTTTGTTAACAGGAGGCGGGCAATTGCACACATGGCCTCCGTCACCCCTTACTGGCTGCATAGACCGCTATGGTGAAAGTTCCGCCCCTGCTTGCACTGGCTCTTTCTATTGTTTCCAACTTCATAGAGTGTAGATCAGGCTCTGAACATCAAGATCTTTCAGATTTTCCTATACAGTATATAAGTCAGAACAAACCTGCTTTCAATAGTTGGATCATGTGCGTGGGTACTTTTACACTGTAAAACCTTTCATATACAGGGTGACCAAACCTGTCATTCACATTGATTTAGAAGAAGTTCAGATTTTTTCTTTCTATTTTTCATGTCTGCGTCCAGCAGTATCCCTGTGAAATCCCTCATATCCGTACCTCAAGGTATAATTGTGCGGCCTTGTGTTCTGCTGGCCTTATCGAAAATGCTCAGGCTCCCATTGTATGAACTAATAACCATTAATGTTTAAATAGCTCAATACATATTCATAGGTGCATTAATGTATTTTTATCCTGGTGCTCTATTGAAACAGTTATATCGCAATGAGCCCAATATCACTAAATGAGATAATGAGAGGGTGTCATTCACGGTGTTTAAATCTCTGCTGTGTGTTTTTATAAAGGCAGGCTCACTGGGAATGAGTCTGAAGCACAGCTTCAAAGACTAAAAATGTCTATTTGCAATAAGATCAAGCCTCTTTATCTGGAGCATATGTGGCTATATACATATATTACCCTGTCTGAAATATTTAGGTGCTCAAAGTATAAGCTAAATTTAAAATGCTGTAGGGGACAACTGAAGGAGAGAGATGATTAGTGGCAAAACTTCTGAAACAGTTACAGGCTTTATGCATGAAAAAGGGACCATTGGGGTTACCCAACCCAATAGATCAATTCAGATGGCAGAATTTCTGGGGTGAGAGGTGCCCATTAGGGGCTATCCAGTCCAACAAAAGGAGTCAGATGGTCAGTGGCAGAACTTTTAAAATTGCTATAAACTTCAGTGATGAGAGGGGCACATTGGGGGCGGGGGATTAGCCCAATTGATGGATTAGGATGGCCAGTAGCAGAACATCTAAAACAGCTGCATTCTTTAGGTAGCAGAGGGGCCCATTGGGGAGGGGGGGACCTATATTAACAAAGGGAGTCAGATGGCCAGTGATTTGAAACTAATTATAGGGTTTGAGAGGGGCGCATTGAGGGGTAGTGGCCAAATAGATTAATCCAGATGGCTGGTGGCAGAACTTCTAAAGCAGCTACAGTTTTTAGGTCTAAGAAGGACCCACTGGGGAGTTCCCAGTCCAACAAAAGGAGTCAGAAGATCAGTGGCTTCAGGGTTGAAGAAGGCCCATTGGGGGCTACTCAGTCCAAAATATGGATTTATATGGCTTGTCTCAGAAATGACAAAGCAGCTTTAGGGGAGAAATGGACCCATTGTGGGGTACCCAACCCAACAAAGGAGTTAGTTGGTTGGTGGCAGAATTTTTAAAACGTGTATTTAATTTAACTCTGTTGTCTGTGCTGGGCATTCTTGAGAGCTAATACATTTGACTAAAACAAACATTCCAGCACAATTGACAGAAAGCCTCAAGTTAGCAAATGTAACTGGTAGAAGATCCAAAATCTTTCAATCACTCAACTGATGACAACAAAAACAACAGTAGATAGCCAACGCGTTTCCGGG